ACCCCAACCACAACACCACACTCCCCACCGCACCCTCGACGGCTGCGCAAGCATGTCGACCAGCCGCCACACCCCGAAAGGGCGACGCGACCTGCAACGCAGGATGCAGGCCTTTGCTAACGCACGCGCTCACCAGGGTCTATCACAGAGCGCGAACTTTGGCGCACCACAACAAAACGCATTTGGCTTCGGTGCCTCAACACCCGCCCCCGCGAGCAACGGCGCGAACGGCTTCGGTGGCGGCAATGCCTTCGGCGGCGGCGCGACCAACAGCTTCCCACCCGCGCAGTCCGCTGCCCCGAGCAACAACTTCGCTGCCTCATCCTTTCCAGCGTTCGGGGGAAGCAATCAGGGCACAGGCTTCAACCCTACACCGCCCTCGTCTGCGGGCTTCAACTTCACAGCTGGAGGTGCAAACCCATTCGCGACTGCCAACTCGGGACCCGCGACCAATGGCAGCACGCCTGCGCCCGCATTTGGGGGATCGTCCATGTTTGGCAACAACGACCAGGCGCAAAGTAATCCCTTTGGCGGCCTAGGCCAGAACAACACCACAAGCGCAGCCTCATCAGGCGGTATGTTCGGCACTACCAGTTCAGCTCCCACAGGCGGTATGTTTGGGTCGTCCAGCGCTGCGCCTACTGGAGGCATGTTTGGAACGTCGAGTGCTGCACCATCATCAGGAGGCATGTTCGGTACATCCACCGCCGCTTCTTCCGGTGGAATGTTTGGTACATCTAGCGCTGCGACCTCAGGTGGTATGTTTGGCACATCGAGTGCTGCCCCCGGTGGCATGTTTGGCACCACCAGCGGCGCCCCAAACGCTACGAGCACCGCCGCTCCCGCATCCACACCCTTCACGTTCGGTGCCGCAACGACGACAGCCTCGAACACCACGAGTACGCCGGCGACGAGCGGTATCTTCAGCGGGTTTGGCAACTCATCACAACCTACGGCGCCTTCACAACCAAGCACGTTCGGCGGCTTTGGTGCCAATGCGCAGAAGGAAGATGCTCCCAAGCAGGCGGCTGCGCCCCAAAACAACATGTTTGGTGGTTTCGGTTCCAACGCACAGAAGACGGAGGGTACCTCGGAAACGCCGAAGCAGAACAACTTCTTTGGCGGCTTGGGTACGAGCGCGCAAGGCACGCCAAACGCGACGGCCACCGCTCCTGCGTCGAATCTATTCAACTTCGGCGCGAATGCGCAGAAGTCTGACAGCACGACGTCAAGCGCCCCTCCAACAAACCTCTTTGGTTCTGCTCCGTCCAGCAATCCGTTCGCAAACCTCCCGACCGCCGAAAACACGTCTTCTGGAGCAGCTGCACCAACAAACCTGTTCAGCAGCCTCAAGAAGCCTGAAGAGTCTGGCAGCAGCCTTTCTGCCGATACCCCCAAGTCCAACCCGTTCGCGGCACTTCCCAAGCCAGCCGACACACCTACCACTACAGGAAGCAGTTCAGGTTTCAGCATATTTGGTGCCAACAAGGATGCTGGCGCAGCAACAGTGAAGGCTCCCGAAGCACCAAAGTCGAGTTTATTCCAGCCGTTCAGTACACCACAGCCAGCGAAGACGGCTGACGTGGAGAAGTCTCAAGGTGGCATGTTCACTGCTGCTCAGCCCAAAACTAGCTCTGGCCTCTTCTCCCAAACGTTCCAGCCCGAGAGCAACAATTCCAACAATTTGTTCAAAAAGCCACAATCAAGCTTCCTCCCTGCATCGACATCGGCATCAGAAACACCCAAGGCTGCACCTGAGGCCTCCAATCCCTTTGCCTCTTTGCCCAAACCTTCGACAGATCGTCCCAACCTGTTCAGCGCTTCGAAGGAACCCTCGCAACCCTCCCCTGCGCCGGCCACATCGATCTTCAACAGTACTACCTCCGAGTCGAGGGGAGAATCGCAGGCACCTGAAATGCCCAAGGTTCCCAAGGTGCACGTTCCCAAAGACTGGGCTGTTCCAGGTGCCGTTCGCGCGCAGAGCAGCGATGGCCTACTGAAGCAGATATCCGATCTGACTGCTCAACTGCAAATGTTGAACGAAAAGTACCGACAACAGCTGAGCAACCTTCCTCCCACGGCAGACTGGTCAAGCGTGTCGCTTTGGCACTACCAGCATGCGGTCGACATTAAGAAGAAGATCGACAACGTGAAGAAGCAACGTGCAGCCGGACGAGGTATCACCGGCAATGAATCAAGCTTGTCCACGAAGCGCAAGGTCAACGATGACAGCCACGAAGTCCGCGATCCATCCCCTTCCAAGCGAGCTCGTGCGACGGAAGCATCTGCTGGTCCGACTCCGCAGCTCTCGGCTTCTACACCGAAGCTCAGTGCCCCAGCCACGGCGACATCAAACATGTTTGCCAAGGCGATCGGAAACAAGCCCTCCACACCTGCGCCAGCGTCATCAACAAGCCTGTTCGCCCCAAAGACAGCTGAAAAGCCCGCCGCCGAGCCCTCGCAGCCAGCTGCATCGACTACCGGTTTCGGTTTCAAGCCCTCTGTTCCCACCACTAACGGTGCAGAAACTGCGGCAGCCTCGTCTGGCTTCAAGCCAAGCTTCGGTGCTTCCTCCACCAGTACATCAGGTTCTGCTGGTTTCAAGCCGAACTTCGGCAGTGCTCCGGCAGGCGGCTTTATGGCTCAGTTCACTAAGACCGCGAAGACTTACGAGGAACTCGCCGCAGAACGCAAGAGGAAGGCTATGGACGAGGACTACGACTCAGATGATGAGACCAAGGAGGAGTGGTCTGCCAGGTACGACAAGGCGGAGGCTGAGCGTCTCGCCAAAGAGAAGGAGATTGCTGCCTCGACCAAATTTGTGATACCTGGTAGTTCTGGAAGTACTTCACCCAAGGAGAACCCGTTCACTGGACTTTTGAAGCCTAAGAGCGGAGTTTCCACTCCCAAAGCTCCCAGCCCGGCGCCGTCTACAGGCAGTCAATCAGTTTTCAACGCCTCCACGTCGCAAGCATCATCCCCCAATATCTTCGGCCACCTATCAGGTCCTTCTTCCAGCAACCAGGAAGAGTCGGATGACGACGACCAACAACAAGACAATGCTGGTTCAGCAGAGCCGCCTTCGCCTCCAAAGCGCTCGGTCGATGCATCGGAGACCGAATCCGAAGATACCCAACAGCACAATCAGCAGGAGTCAAGTTCCAAGGGCAGCTTGTTCTCAAGGATCACCAGGGATAACGATTCCGAGGCAGAGAAGGAGAACAGCGGCGCCCCTTCTCTGTTCGGACAGAGTAACGGTACTACAACTCCCTCTAACAAGCCTTTCCAGTTCTTCGATTTCGGTGCTGCATCCAAGACCGCGCCGCCGAAGACCGATACGTTCGCCGGCGATCAGACTTTCAAGGCGGGTACTCCGATCAAGTTTGGCGGAGCTCCTGCTACTGAGAAGAAGGATGCTGCACCCAAATTTAACTTCCAGCCTGCTACGCCTGGTGCTGGCGAGTTCTCCACAACGCCGGCGAAACCACCACCCAGCTCCATCTTCAATTTCGCCCCGTCCACAGGTGGATCTTCGCTTTTCGCTCCATCCGGTGGTAACTCTGTGACCTCGTCTGTATTCTCTTCGCGCGCAAACACGCCTCTCTCTGAAGCTGGCGATACCAGTGCCGCATCTGCAGCAGAAGATGACGAAGAGGGCGGCAAGCAAGAACAGATTGACTTGACCAAGTTGACTGAGGATGAGCTCAACACTTACGACATTGTCTTCCACACCGAAGTCGTACTCGCCAAACACCAGGAGGGAGAGAAGGGCTGGACGAACATAGCAAAAGGCCCGCTCTGGATCCTCAAGGACAAGCAGACGGGCAAATGCTCTGTGCGAGTGCGCATCCCGAGCGGTGCCACCCCAGTCAACTACCAGATCCTACCTGCGCTGCCTGCCACCGTCACTGGCGGTAGCAAGAAGATGGTCATGGCGACCAAGCCTGCCAAGGAAGGCGGACTCCAGTCTGTTCTTTACGCAGTCAAGACGCCTGAGATTGCACAGGAACTCGCAGCGAAGTACACAGAGTGTGTACCTAAATCGCAGTAAGCGACCTTGTCCATCTCGACATTCATACCCGTTCTACGAACCGTGGGGTTGAGCGTCTAGCTCATCACCTGCATCCACGGATTCGATCACTTTGTTTGCATTTGTTTGTTCACCTTACCCCTGTTTCCGTTGACAACTCCATACACGTGTACCCATATATTCCCACAAGATTGGCGACATTGTTTGTTTTTCCCCCAGCGACTACCTTCTTCATTCTCCCTTTACTTCGGGCTTGTTGGAACATCATCACAGAGAGATGAGCATTGCATAGTAATGGCGTTGGTGGCAAGGAGCCCCTCTTGATTTGTTTGTTTTTTATGCGAAGCGACGATGGATGGAAAAATGGGATCTTGATCTTCATGTAGTATACTATGAGCCCTCTTCCTTAATATGCATAAGCGCATTAGTCGCGCTACCTTCCGAACACAATTTTGAGACGTTTACGTGCATGACTACGTGTAATCGTGGTGCTATACACACTCCTAACACCGCACGAAGACAAAGCTACTTCGAGTTCTAGGCCTGGTATTCCCGTTGTGGACAACTGATGGATGGTTTTACCCATGAGATGCAATCTCGCAATCGTGGTGATGAATTTGCAACCAGCTAGTCAAAAGCATGTTGTGTTCATTCATACCAAGACTGCCATCTGCACTACAAGTCTTAAGGTGGACTAAGTACTTTTACTCATCGCCATCCTTCAAACATCATCCCTCTTCAGGCCAGACGTTGTCTTGTATAATGCATGGGGGCACGTAAACAGAAGACAAGAGCAAACACCCTGAAGCCTACGTTGATTTTGAGTCACCTACTTTGCAAGTTTTTGACTTAATGTAGTCAGCAGACCTGTTTATAAAGCCAGCATATTCCCCTCATTGGTGCACCTGTGCCGCAATAGCAACACCCCTCATCTCTCCGTTCAACAGCATCGATATCTCTACATACCAGCATGTCTGCACCACAACCTCATTCACCCCCGCAGGTACAAGGTTCATCGTCACCTGAAGAGAGCGTACGCCAATCAAGCAGATTCTCACCACAGGCAAAGCTAACCCCATCCATAGAAGACCGGCGTCCACGAAGCGGGCCCTGCAGACCCTTCGAAGGGCAAAGCTGCGCTCGCCGAGTTCTCCGCAACGATGAAGCGTCCAGCAGATCTCAAGTGCTTCCGCCAAATAGGCTGTGACGGCATCTGCAGGACCCTTCGTTGGATGCCAGGACCGGATGACGAGCCAACTGGCATAGAGGTCTATGATGCACAGCCCATGTCACCGTTCCTGTTGAAGGCGTACCTTGATCGACACGACTGGAGTCAGGCGACTGAAGACCGCTTCCGTGGTGTCGACGGCAGGAATACGCCGAAAGAGTAAGTGTTGCGGTATGACGTGGCAATATGCTGACGCCTTCTCTAGACAATGGTTCAATCCACTCCCTGGTGTTTTATCACCTCCAAGTACTAAGAACGAGCGTATGGCAGAGAGAGATCGATTCAACGAGGAGCGAAGAATCTTCGAAGAGAAAATAGCGAAAGGGGAGGTGGAGGCAGCGGATCCGGGGCCAGCTTGCGGCGCTGTGCGAAGCAACTATGATCTGAGCCCACGGTAGTGATTACCCCCTTAGTTAGTAGAAGCACCTTATACAAGAGAAAAACTAAACAGGCCTAGAACCTACATCGACGTTAGATCTCCTGCTTTCCTTGTTTTTATATTGATGTAGGCTGTAACCACGAAATCGTAGGCTGCAGACCTGTTTGGCTTTTCCCTAGGTTGACGCGGAAGAGTACTGTGAGTGTGTTGCACACGTCGATGATCTGGAAAATGCCTTTGATTCGGCCCTGCTTCGCGAAATTGGGTATATACTCGGGACCAAAACAAATTACTTACAGCCAATCTCCCCTCCAAAGAAACAGCTCATATTACTCCAAAACCCTACTCTCTCCATTCTTCATACCCTGAAAGTGTACATCTTCAAAGACATCCCCATCTTGTGCTCTCGCTTCTTTCAACGCTTCTTCCACTGTCCACACCTTTCGGCGGAGGAACCAACTTATCAGGCCTCCTCCTTTTTTCACCTCGTCATGTGTTGCGACCCAGTACTTTGCCCGGAGTGTGCGTTGGGCGAGGATGCCGTTCTTCGCTCCGAGGTTAAGCTGCTGGGCTGAGGATATAGAGACATCGTGGAGGCCGTGTAGGAAAGCGAGGGTATGTAGTGGTGGGTCGGCTGTGGCAATTGGGCTGAGGGCTTCGTGGGGGATGCCGTGCGGTGTGTAGATCACACATTCGGCTTCTTCGCCGTTGATGTTAGACGATAGTTCTTCCGCTCCATCGCCATTTATACTGAGTGTAGAGAGACGCTTCTTAGGCGTCGCTGTCGACAGGAAGGGATGCGTGGCGAAGGTTATTAGGAGCGCAGAATGGAGGTAGAGAGAGTCTCCGGTCGCTGTGAGACGCGATATGCTGAGCCATGAGGGGAGCGGCGAGAGACTGTAGTCGTGCCAGTCAGAGTGGTCGGCGAAGGTGGGTGTTGTTATTACGGTGCGGAAATGGTTCCAGGAGGATATGAGGTTGGCGGCTTGCTGCGGTAATTGTCAGCTCATATTACCCTTGATCATGTCGTATGAGAACATACCTCTGTCGCGAGCACAGGCACATCACGATGCACCTCTAGAAGCGTCTCTTTATGGCAATGGTCGGTGAATTCATGGCTAACAGCCACACAGTCCACATAACTCTCCTCATCCACCTCTTCCACCTTCCTCTTTTTACTTCTTCCTCTGCCTAATCGCAGTCCTCCAGCCATTATTTCGACCTGTCGTGCCAACTCGTCCACCTCGGCAATGCTCTTCACAGCGCTCTCCGTCGCGTGGAACTGCTGGCTGAACCATTTCGCGACATCGCTCTGTCCGCCAACGAACCACGGATCTATCAAGACATTGTAGTATACCCGGCTCCCGTGTTTGACGGCGTTTGCTGGACGCGGTATCTGAAGAAGCCAAGACGAATCGGCGTTTAGGTGGTGGAGGATGGGCCGGCGCGTTGCGAGCGCGCGAACGACGGCGTCGCGAATCTCGAGGTGGAGTTGTGAAGACGGATCGTCCATGTTTCGAGTGTGTCGTGATATGTTCGCGCTGGTTCTACGGTTGCGCTAGATGGACGCGCCGGATTTGCGCACTTCAGGGCGACATCTAGCGCGTCGAATGTTGAGACACAAAGTCTTTAAGGATATTTTAATGCACCTTATTAATTTTGCTAGAGGCTAGTCTAGTTAATAGTTACTACCTTGCTACTTTTAGCTATACTACCTAACTTATACTACGCAATTTATTTTTAATAAGCGCTTACTAATAAAGCTATTACGCGTAGAAACTTACTAACGCCTTCTCTAGTTCTTCTTAAATATTAGTAAGTTACTTTAGATATTATTTTTTTACTAGAGTAAGAAGAATTAGTATAATAACTTTTATATATAGTATAGTAATTATATTTAGCTTAGCTTATTACTTAAGCTTTTATAATATAGTAATAACTTTAAGTATACTATTAGTAGTAAATAGTAAATAGTAATATCTTTTTATATATACTAAGAAGGTTCTTAATTATTAACTTTATAAAATCTAAATTTAATACTACTTTAGGTAACTATAGTTCTAGAAATTTTACTTTATAAATTTTTTACTTAGCTCTAGTAGTATTTAATCTCTACTTTAGCTTAAGTATAAATATAGTAAAGTTAATACTAGTAAAAATTATAATAGTTAGAATTATTTTAGCTTTAGAGTTATATAGAAAAGAAAAAGATATTAGTAGTATATAGAAGCTTTATATACTATTATACTTAAAAACTTTAAACTTTATTAATATAAGATAGACTTATTATAACTAAGAAATATTCTCTTAAAAGTTACTAGCGTTTTCTAGTAACTAATAGTATCTCTCTAAATTATTAGCTCTACTAATAACTATAGTACTATAGTAATATACTAGATAGTACTTTAGTAAATAATATTAAAGCTATTATAATTATACTATATACTAAAGTACTATTTTAAAGACTAGTATAAACTAAGACTAGACTATAGTCTAAGTTAAAGGCGCACTCTATTTGTTCTGCGTTAAATGTCGATACAGATGCGACGAAAAGGCGCTAGTGGAGGCTGGGGAAATCGTGGCGATGACGCACGGGCGACATGGAAGACCCTCGTTGCAGCACTCCATCCTCACGACCTCAGCCTTGCGACATTCAGACAGTCAGCTCACAACTACATTTGTGTCTGTGTCAACGACTGCACTGGGTTATTTTGGCCTCGGAGGACAATGTGGCCACATAGACCCGGCCATAGGGATGGTTCCTCAATCGAATGAGTGATCGTCGCCCATTAACTTTACCGCAATCTTCGCGCCAAAATCCAGGACGTGAAGGCTTTGTTCCCGCCGGAATAACTGAGCAAGCCGAGTTTGCTGGTTTGTTTCGTGGGAGTAGAATCTCACGCTCGGTATAACGAAACCACAACTGGTCGCATTCTTATGGACTCACAGTCTACCATTCGATGACATGGCTAGCTCTTTTACATGTCTAGGACCGAAGACGCGAAAGGGCATCGACCCGAGTTACCGTTGATTGCAGTTTGTGGGAGACCTCCCCCTGAAACTTTTATCTCCATTATATGGTAGGAGCTTGTAAGCATCCTCAGTGTCATTGATATAGAGTTTGCAAGAGACGGAAAGAACGGAGATGAGTAAAAAGATGACTGATCAGAAGTGTAGTCCAATGCCGCAAAGCAACTGAATCCCCCTTCTACCAGTCATGTCAAACCCTTGTCGCGCTCGATGGCGTTCAGTGCGCCATCTTTTTTACTTTCTGCCGTAAGCCATTACTCTACAAAGGTCTTCTACCGGTAACCCTCGATCCTTCTGCCTATCTTGGTCGCTGAAGAAAAGATAAATTCAAGCCGTCTCCTAGTGTATTTATTACTAGTACACTCGTTGAGACTGTCTAGACTTGCCGTCCAGCCGATAAACTTCCGCGAGTATTGGCTACACCCTAGCATATGCGAGTTTTTTGAGACGACCGATGACAACAAACACTGTTCTTCCAGACCATCGCATGCAGTCATCCACTTCTGTCGACTAGCGGAAAAAGTCTCTCAACATGGAAGCTTCCCTGGTGAGCAAGTTATAAGCAACGTTGGCGCCAAAAGCCGCTCATTCGTCTTGTACCTATCTAGGAATACGAAGTCACCCTCAGTGTCTTATCGCAGGATTCGACGAAAGCCATCATGCGCGCATTTCACGATGCATGTTCGTGGGTTGACAATGTGAAAGAAATGTTCGCGCGCACTGATACGAGATAGACTATCGATTGCGCGGGAAGACTGCCGAATGCGGCAACGTCGCTGGTAACACGAGTACGAGGTTGCATAGATTGATTGTACGTGCATAAGCGCATTGTTGGCTCTTTTGTGCCAGCCAGTGCTAGTATCTGAGAAATATTGTGTGAGTAGTTTTGCCGACGTCATTGGGCGCTAGAGCTGTTTGTTGGTGTCGCACATGCTTCGTAGTCACTTAACAAAATACTCATGGGGAAAGATGAACAAGCACTTTTGAAGGAGTGACAAAAGTTGGTCATAATTTCTGTCTACTACTACTAAACTCGTACCCGTCGTAACCATTCTATACCAGTTGTTCATTCAATATAGACAGTTGAAGAGGAATATCCAAACGCGTGAAAACCATGAAAAAGCAAAACTAAAACGCTGGAGCTATACAAGGCGAGGGAATGAAGGCTCCAAGACAGAAGAGCTACAGCAATGATTTTGCCGTCAAAACACCTAGACCGCCCAAAATCTTTGCTTGATAAGTGAAGAGAAACTGCTCAAACTACCCGAGTAGCTTAGTAGTGGGGGTAGGCGACGTAGCCGGTGGGCTGGGGGGTCACCTTCGAGGACGAAGGAGTGTTCACGGGGTAGTGAGCCGCCGAGCTTGAAGGGGTGGCAGCGGGGTACTCCTTAGTGGACGAGGAGGGGGTAGCAGCTGGGTACTCCTTTGTGGAAGAAGAGGGAGTGACAACTGGGTAGCCCTTGGAGGAAGAGGGGGTGGCAGCCGGGTACTCCTTAGTGGATGACGAAGGGGTAGGGTACTCGGTGGGGTAGGCCTTGGAGGAGGAGGGAGTGTGGATCGGGTAAGGCGCGGACGAAGCACTGTAGTGGGGGATCGAGCTACCGGAGGAAGGGTAGGGAGGGTGGACCTCAGACGAAGGCTTGGGACCAACGGGGTAGGGCTTGGTGGAAGCTGAAGGCTTGGGACCGACTGGGTAAGGCTTTCCAGAAGACGATGGCTTAGGAGCCTCTGAGTAGTGCTCCGCAGGAGTGGATGGCTTCATGCCCTCGGGGTAGGCAGAAGGGGCTGGGCCGGGAGTGTAAGCTCCACCGACAGTGACGGTCTTGGTCTCGACTACGTGCTCAGTCTTGGTGACAGTGACCTGGGCAGGGCACTGAGGAGCGGGAGGGACACCGACAGCGTAGGTTGGCTTAGGGGCCTCGGGAGTTCCAGCGGGGTGAGTCTCAGCGGGGTATGTGGGCTTGGGGGCATCGGGGGTGCCTGCTGGGTAGGTTGGCTTGGGAGCCTCAGGAGTTCCAGCGGGGTGAGTCTCGGCTGGGTGGGATGGCTTGGGAGCCTCAGGGGTGCCAGCTGGGTACGTGGGCTTGGGAGCCTCAGGAGTTCCAGCAGGGTAAGTGGGCTGGTGGGCCGAAGGAGTCTCAGCTGGGTAAACGGGCATGTCAGATGTGGGCTTCGAGCCGTGGATGGTAGATGTCACAGTGACAGTGTTGTAGGTTGGGGTCAAGTAGGTTGAGTAGATGACGCTGGAGTGCTCTCCGTGGCCAACAGAGGTGCTGCATGGCACCCAGGCTGTGTGGGTGGAAGTGAGCGTGGTCGTAATGTCGCTGTGGGGGTACTCAACAGCCGATGAAGGCTTAGGAGTAGGCTTGACGTAACCAGTTCCGTAGGAAGAAGCGTGGTAGACGGGGGTTGAGGCGCTGTAGGCTGGGTGAGATGCGCTGTAGACAGGCTTGGAGGCACTGTAGATGGGAGTTGAAGCGTGGTAGACAGGAGAGCTCTCGGCAGGCTTGGAAGCACTGTAGACGGGGACAGAAGCGCTGTAGACCGGAGTGGAGGCGTGGTATGCGGACGAGCTCACTGCAGGAGTCGACGCGCTGTAGACCGGGGTGGAGGCGTGGTAAACCGAGCTCTCAGCTGGCTTGGAAGCGCTGTAAATGGGAGTAGACGCGCTGTAGACAGGGGTGGAGGCGTGGTAGACCGACGAGCTCTCAGCGGGCTTGGAGGCGCTGTAGGCGGGGACAGACGCGCTGTAGACTGGAGTCGAAGCATGGTATACTGATGAGCTTGCGGCAGGAGTGGATGCGCTGTAAGCGGGAGGGGTGGATGCCTCGTAGACCGGTGTGCTGGCTGGGTAGTGAACCTCACTGCTGGGTGTGGACGCTTCGTACGGCTTGGAAGAGGGAGTCGAGGCGTGGTAAGCACTGGGAGTGGATGCTGCTTCATACGGCTTTGAAGAAGTTGGTGCAGGCTGGTATCCAGTGGGGACGACCGCTGAGTAGCCGTATTGAGGCATGGCCAAGGCCGAGCCGACGAGGGTAGCAGCAACGTAAGAGTAACGCATCTTGATGGTATTGCTGATTTGAGTCCTAGGTGATTGATCCGGAAGTTGTCGAGATGGTATTAAGTATTAGAAGACTTTTGTGAGGACACCGTAGCGAGTGTTGGTGTAGGAAAACTGTAGGAAAGCGAAGGTGATGGTTGGTGGATGAGTATGATAGTTGAGATGGAACGAAAGTTATATACCATAGTCCCCAGAGTCTATACGCTTCCATGATGGCTGACGTCGATGCCGTCTCCACTTTGTCAACACGAAGTAACATCTCGCCATGTGAAGGGCTCCGCTCTACGTACGAGCTGTCGATAGCGTGAGCAGCCCGACAGTAGCATCAGCGAAAAAAACCGCAGGGGTTGAGCGAGTAGAGGCACAGCCCTACCGCACAGTGATGCCGGCGCTGCCGGGATGAGCGACCGTTGTGGGCTATATTTGCACCACGCTTTGGCTGTTTCCGGACTAGCGCGCGGTTGTCATCCACTCACGGCACCCGGAGCGCGTATCGCATCACCCTCATCTCAGTCCAGCCCATCGTCCGTCAGACCTCAACAACAGCCGTTCGCGACCTTCGCGCATTCGGAGACACTGCCGGTGTTGCTACACTACCCACGTTCCGCTCCCAAAGATAGCCGGCCACGTTCCTGAAGATCCACCAGGGCCGTAGCCTCGGGCGACCCACGAGCCGGAGCCTGAATTTTCCAGATGTCTACTACCAGCCACCGTGGAGGCTATACCTAATCGGGTCTTTGATAACAGACCCTCGGTGATTCGGATGAGTATTGTATTATCGCCTTTCCTCATTGCGCAGTCAATACTTCCTTACTCCATCGCCAGCGACGCCACATATGCTGACTTGCAGTTACGAGATGTCGGCTTTACCCTCCAGGGTTACCTACGCGAAGAACAAGCAATCCATGGATGCGCTGATGGTCTGTGGCGTCCGACCTGGCATGAACGTTGCACCGCTGACCCAAGTCTCTATGCATATGAGCATCGTCCGTCATGCCCACTGGCGAATGCGGCAGAAAACGTTCTATGCCGCGTCCCAGGAAGCTATGTGACTGAACCTGCAGTACTCTGCGCGAGTAGAGCCGTGTGCGCACTGACACGAGATGCAAGCGTTGGGTTGGGCGAATGCCTCCCCCCTCCACCACGCTACTCGTATTTTCCAAACGACAGCCACTAGGATCACTACCTCCAGGAATATACCGGGCTATTAGGAAAGCTCGGCTATATAGCATATCAGCCACATACATCACACATCGAAGTAGTGCTGATTGTGCCCACAACTCGACTTGCCTCCGCTCTTTGTTGAATCTGGTGGAAGCTTATTCTCTCAAGCTTCTCACAGATCATAGCAAGCAGAGTACCTCAGACAACAAAACCCTGCACAGATCTGCAGACTACACTATGCTAAACGAACGAATCGGAAAATCTGGCGTCAATGTAGGCCCCAGAGTTTTCGGTTGTTCCTTGATTGAGCTGGGAGCACGATCAAGATTTCGGTACTTCTGTTACCAGAACATTCGAATGCACCGGCGGATCTTGTCTGGCGCCTCAGCGATGCCGTATAAGCCGTTCGCAAACACGGCCGCTGTCATTTACGTTTGACTTCGTCTTATGGCTTGAAGGACTAGCTTCATCTCAACGAATGCAAATTCGCAATAATATTTTGGCGAAACAGCGGATTCACCCAGACAGCCATCTGTATCCATACCGAAGTTGGAAGAGAACTTCCTGCTGGTCACAAGCTCAAACCGGATGTTCATACCAGCGTACCTTCACCGAGTTCGCAAGAGGAATATGGTCTGACGCAGTTTTCGTCATGGCGTGGGTAAAATGTCGTGATCATTGTCAACTCAGCGCACTGTCATGCGATATTTTGCTGATACGAGCATCAGCATGGTCATTCCACCGAAGAGTGCCATTATTAGCATCGGATGGCGGTCCAGCCACACTAGGCTATCGCTCTAGATCCAGGTCTCGATACTGTCCAGCGCACAGCAACAGGCCGTTGGTACCCAGCTCCCACGAGGGAACTACAGCCAGACTGTCACCACACTAGAGCAGGAATGCGATAAAGGCATTGTAAAACCTGCACTATTATCTCCAGGTGCAGCGAAGCTGTGAGATTAATGCATGTTGGGCTCAGTACAGGGCTTGGTTTGGCAGCTTGGCACTATCAGGACTTGGGCTGGTAGCGATGACGACGGGTCCGGTGTCCCCGCAAGAGGCAGAAGCAACAGCCTGAGGCTACAGCACACTCGCGAATTTCGGAGAACAGTCACTACCGTTGCAGCATGCCGAACACACGGGGCACAGATACTTCTCCAACTTTGCAGTCCTTGTTGATCACAAAAGAGGCAGTAACGGTTGACTTGATAAGATTCACTAAAGGTGGGCCGCGCTCAGATTGTCTACTCTTAGCACCTACATCAGCTTCATTATGTCTGTCGTCCGCATTCATCTCGTTCAAGGAAACTCCTAGCAGGCCTGCAGCTTACATTCAGATTAAGATATGCAAAGTAAATAATCTAACGTCAACGTACGCTCCAGGATGTCAAGTTACGAAGCAGGCGTCGAGGCTATTATCCGCTCAGCTAGGATCTCTACAGCTGCTCCTAGGCTGTCCAATACTGCCATAGCTGGATAATCATGCGCGAGAGCGCACAAGGTCCAGTGAAGGTCATTACACAAAACTGGTAGCTCATCATAGCGTCCATCGTTCATGCAGCTGAAGATGAACGTGAGACCAGTATGAACTTCAGTCTCGAACGCTTCGAGAAGTGGGGCTGAAGGTATACGCGAGGTTATCGTAGCTGCTGCATGTGGTTCGCAATGGGGCTGAGTGAGTGTGAGATCTGGTGCGCTGTCCCAAACAACATCAGTGAACATATCGTCGCATGTGAGGTGTGGAGGTGAGCTCGGCATCATTGGCGCCTCTAAGCCATGTTCAACGTAGGTCCCTCCTTCTTCGTCTTCGTCATCTGAGAACCCTTGTTGGCGCTCCTCAATAGGTTTCGCAAACCCCCGGTAATCAGCAAAGCCGACAGAGTCTCCTGAGGAAGACGGGCTGAGCCAAGACAGCTGTTCCTCGTCGACCGTGGACAAAGGCTCAGATGCAGGCACGAGCTGAGTAGCAAGTGTCAGCCGTGGGAAGCGACGTTGGTGGTGAGGCAGATTGCTGGAGTACAGCCCAAACGGTAGACACTGTTGGCGCACAGCTGACTGGCGTTGAAGACTGGTCTGTGGCGGTGCTGGCGGGTGGCCAATACCTGATGTGAAATCAGACCAGAATCTGCTCGGACAAGGGTCATCTCGTAGCGATATCCGGGACTTGCGGCCTTGATCTTCTAGATTGAGACAGCTGTGTTCCTTCAGCTCAGCTGAGCCGTGATCCTCATCATCGGGAATGTCTCGGTGAATCACCGGACGCGGTAGGTCTTCTTGCATGGATAGTAATTGGTTCAAAGCGGTATACGCGACGCATTTGTGCGTTTCAGCATCGACATATGCTATTTCAGCGTACCGAGGTGGTGACAAACCTGGTTCTTCGTTTGTCTCCGATGTCTCTGAGACATTGTCCTTGTCACACACATCTGAGACATCGTCCAAAGTAGGTGAGTACAGCAACGGGCCGCATGCGACAAAGGCGTCCATATCTGGGGATGTGGCAAAGGAAGTGTCTAGAAGGACCGGTGGTTCTTTCGTGCTGTTCCCAAAGCCATCTTCCATATCGAACATGTCCACATCAACAAGCTCGTCTATGAGCTCAAAAATGTCTTTTGCCGTGGGATATCTCAACGATAGACTGAAGTCATCGTACTTGTCAGCGAGAACGAAATCTTCTCCTGGCACACAACGAGTACCTCTCTTGTTGTCCAAACAGGTACACTCGCCATCATGGCAATCGCCAAGGAAGCAAGCAGTTGCGCGATAGAGGTCTTCGATATCGCGGTCGTATTCGACAGTTAAAGAGCAGGTGGTTATGTTACGAAGAGAATCTCGTCCCGGAAGGAATAAATCATTAGTAGCATATCGGAGGACGGGGTCGTGCTCGAGTTGCCAGCGCTCCTGAGTAGCTATATCTCCCTCCGTAGCCGACAGGGATGGGTGCGTCAAAGACCGGCCTGGACGGTTACATGGAATCTCAGGCATGGTATATCGATCTTCGCGAAAGATCGGAGAAGTGTTGAAGTCGGAGGCCACTGATACATGATCGTGTGATTCATGCACTGCCAGGGACGGTTGAAGTTTCAGATCACTGGTATCGAGAAGACCTGGCGTCAGCAAACGTTCCTGATGCTGTATCAGCGGATACGTCGCTATCTCAGGCAAAGAGCCAGTAGTAAACATACTGCGGTTGGCTAGATCTTCGTCGCTGGCATATGGAGTCTCTGCATCGAAGAGCAGCTCCACATACGCAGGAGCCCTGCAATAAGAAGCGCAGGCCGGCTGCTTGTCTTCTTTGACTGGCTCCAATGTAGCAATGGTCGACATTGTCCGGGTCTTTGCTATCGATGATGACACATTGACTCCTCCTGTAACGAAATCGAAGGAATCGATGCGCTTTAGTGGAGGCGTTGTAGATTGCTCGGTTGCTCCAGATTCCCACTGCTCGGCAAAGACTTCGTCGGCGTCAGTAACTTCTGCAAAGACATCCAGGTAGTCATTTCCATTCTCTGTCTCCTCTATAACAGATGCAGAGGTATATTGACGTAAAGGTGTAAGTGACTCAAAGGTCGAAGGCAATTCCACTTCTTCAAACCGAGGAGGAGTTAACCGTCTACCAGAGGCGCTTGCATGTCGAGACGCAGCGGAAGAACTCATGGTATTGGATTTTGCTTATATAACAGGACGTCGGCGCGGAACTAATTCGAGATCCTGCTTTCGTTGATCGGCGGGATTAGGTGCAGGACGGGACTCTGTGCGCAAGGGTGCTGATGGCGTCTGGGGGCCAAACAAGCTCTCGAGTCTCGTAGAGTGATAAAGGACTAGATGAAGACATAGGAGGATCTCGTATACTTCCATTGAGCATATACGTTGTGTAGTCTTCAAAATGCACTGTGTAAAATATCAGGGTTGTTGTTATCAGTACCACAACATTGTTTTGCGATACTCTTGAGCTATCTTGGTGCAGACGACAAATTGAAGTCTAGCTACAAGCAAATCAAAGATATTTCGATGCGCAATCAATTTACATGCTCGAAAACCAGCCTGGACGGTCGCCTTTCGGCCGGAGGGCTCCGCATTCGCAGTGCAAACCTTTTTGAAGAAACTTCGGTAAAGATAATCACACGAACGAGCGCATCGAGCCGCTCCTTCAAACCGTCCTCAGCGAGGCTCGTAGACATCTTGTCAGGTAGCAGAATAGATACGATAGTGCCAGTGTTCCCTCCTGAGACAGCTTCCAGTTCGAGACAGCCACAGTCCCACACCGCCAACAACGTGGTGCAAGGTATTTACACGCCAGCGCAGATGAAGTGCAATACGAGGCTGGAGCCAAACGTATGGCTTGGAAAGTCTTCCTACACTGACGCGTCGCGGTAACCTCTTAGTGAGTCTCCACCAATTTGATGCCAGGTGTTGATGAGTTAGACGTGGCTTTGCGCGCCCGGTGTTGAAAGACCTCTCATGTTTGCCAATAGCTGGAGGCTCCAAGTTCACATCTCCGGGCTTCTTCTTCAGCTGCAGAAAAGGCTTTGTAATTCTTCCTTTTCTCTTGCCTGAGTGTATGCTTTTCCCATTCTTTCATCACCTGCAACGTCGCTACGACAAGTGCCGGGTCCACAGTCGTCTGACGTATGTAGACAGATTCATCAGGGGCATAACCTCCGCTTGCGTCGACATGCCCGTCCCAGAAGCAGTGATCTGCCACGATACCACCATACAGCGGATCAGGATTGTTCCCTATCGCGGCGAAGAGTGCATGCCGCAGGGTGTCGTATCGTGACCCGTGGATGGAGGAAACCTTGGTGCTTGTGACCCACATATATGCACGTCCGTCTGTACCGATGAAGCGCAGTGAGTCGTAATTGAGCGCATGCACGTAAGTTGTCAGAATGGATCTTGCGTTTGGGCCACCTTGGAGTAAGACTTCCGACTTTCGTAGATTGGTCCTGGGGTCCAGCTTTAATTCGTAAGACCATGCGGTCTGCTGTGATTTCGGTACCTTCTTTCCTGACTCTGTCGGCTCCTCGGGGCATGTCATTGTCCACGAGAATTTGGGACTACGGAAGCTACCAGTCGTGCTTTTGAATTTGAATGTAAACGCCGGTGGAACAGGATTACGTGCATGTTCAGAAGGGCGTATTGTTCGCCATGCACACGACTCTGGCGTGTCCAGCCAGCTGGACCCGGATGACCGTTTGCTTTCCTGGTAAGCATGCAGTGTAGAAACAACGGGTGGAAGGTTCCACTGAGGCGGATACGGCGCTTGGCGGTACTGCTCGAGATACCCAGGCAGCGATATTGGTTCTAGCGCGACTGACGGGCGTCTTATGGGTTGTTGTGGTCGTTCTATGGGCTGCTGATCCAACAAGACTGGAATTGGTAAATTCTCAAGCGGTGACTCGAAATCTTTATCCGGATGCTGCTCTACAACCACTTCCGGTAAGGTGCTGAACAGACTTGGATCTCGCGCTTGTTCGAACGATCCAGGACTCCATGGTTCGGCGGCCGCTCCGACACTTCTCGAATGGGGTCGAAGCGATTGTGCAGAGTGTTGATGCGCTAGAGGTAGAGGCGCAAGCTGGGTGGTCACTGGCGCCATGTTTACTGGTCTCTGGTCGACGAAGGATGAAACGCTTTTTGAATGTAACCGCAAAGCTTGCGCAGATCGCTGTTGATGTAGGAGTGGTGACAGACGCTGGGAGCTGGGCGGCATCATACTGGCAGGGCGTTCCTGTTGGCTTACTGCACTAAGCGATCTCTTCCGAACACCTTCCACCTCCAAATGCTGCATCCTATGCGCGAGCAGCTCATCCTGCTTCAATTGCTCTTCCGACGTCGTAGTTGGTGGAGCTGGAGGCAAGGGCGCTGGCAGCTCTGCGATGAAAGGCACTGGCGCATCTTCGCTGTAGTGTGGTTGAATATATGATGCTGGCGCAGGTGCATAGTGTCCATAGTATGAGTGGTTGGGCGAAGAGGCCTGCGAGTATCGGTTGTATGGGTACACTGGCCGTTGCGGCGGCGACTGCTGTTGCCGATGTGTCTCCCAGCCCTGCCACTGGGGATTAGGAATCGGCGACGACATGGTAATTCCTGCTAAGCTGACGTCTTGGGATGGGCAGCGCAGTAGGAGTAGGGCTGACGTCTTCAAGTATAGGAAGATCTGCAAGATTTCGCCCCATCCCAAAACATGTTAATCAACACGGGGCGTTGTTGTACAGTACGCGCTATGTGCAACGCGCATTACCCCAGAAAACAGAAACCTTCGGGGAAGATCTCAATGAGGATGATCAACAGAAGCAGAACATGACTTTTCAAGTAGCAGACTACGCGAAGTTTGTGAGGCAAGCGTAAAGGGCGAGCGTCTGAAGGAGCGGGTGCCTGTTGACTGCAGCCGCGGGTTGCTGGGCGCCTGAAACAACGCCTCAAGCCATGCTGACGGCGGCTGGCCATAGTTGAGGGCGTCCCTCAACCACTGTAACGATGGAGCACCACGACACAACCCTTGGGAGTTTCCTGCATACATCGGATTGTTCAATGGCGTGGGACGATGTGCGATTGTGGGTACGCGTGGGTTGCGTGTGCCCTATGTTCGGGTCTAAGCGTACCAGGCTCCCAAATTGCGAAGCTGAACAATTGGTCTCGCATCAGACGCCCGCAAAAGAGCAGCGTTATATCAAATACATCATAATGTATGGGTATAGACACATATCACCTTGAACAGTCTACGAAGAAGAACATAGCAGAATGTAAGCGGCAGGCGGCAAGCGTCACGATTTCCATCATCTCAGTGGTGGGAGAGAGCTGCACGAATAGTTGCTCTATTGAAGATCGAAGCATTTCACTTCGTCTTGGAAATGCTAACAACATTTCGCAATGTACCGAAAGGCAGCACGTCTGCTATCCTCTTCTTACTAGCGAACAGCATGACCAATCTATCCAGCCCACAACCCCAGCCACCAGTGGGAGGCATACCCCACTCCAGCGCCTCGAGATAACTTTCGTCAATCGCGCCTTCACCCTCGGGGTGGAAATCACGCTGCTGCATGAACTTGCGACGCTGTTCAAACGGAGAGTTTTCCTCTTCGTATGCGTTGACGTATTCCCGGCCATGAATAAACATTTCCACGCGAGATGCAACGCGTTGTCCAGTAGCCTCGTCAAGATACGACTTTGAGAGTGGAGAAAGCGCTTCAGGGTGCTGAGTGATGAAAGTGGGATTCTTGCAGAGCGGCTCGATGTATATCTCAGCAAGAGTGTCGAGAAGACGTGGAAGTGTGGGGTTGGGCGGAACGGGGAGTTCAAGGTTGTCAAACAGCTGGAGCAGCTCCTTGGAAGCGTTCGGTGATAACAAATCAGGCAGCTTGCGACTACAGGCTTGCTCGATGGTGGGTATGAAGGGAAGCTGTGTGAAGGGCTGCGCGAAGTCGATATCTTCCGGCGCCGCCAGGGTCGGGAAGTACGTCGACCTTAGCGACTCGATCGCAGTATGGAGTCCGTGTACCAGTTGCTCCGTCCTGGCGACGACAGTGGGTAGGGTCGCGCCAACTTCGTAGAACTCGCAAGTCGAGAACTCTGGGTTATGCGTGTTATCGACACCCTCATTTCTGAAGGCGCGTCCGATCTCGAAGATCTTGTCTTGCCCTCCAACAATCAACCGCTTGAGGTTGAGCTCAGGTGCTATCCTAAGCCGTACAGGGGTGTTGGACACTTCATTTGCGACAGTCTCGAAGGGTCGCGCAATGGCACCTCCAGCGTTGACGTCGAACATGGGAGTCTCCACTTCCAGAAACCCACTTTGTATAAAGTATGTGCGCACGTAGTCGTAGATCAGCGCTCGCAATCGAAGAACATCGCCAGGCTCGTCGCTCGTGAGCGCGTGGATGTGCGGTCGTCGGGCAAGTGTCTCGGCATCGACAATCCTCTCTGGGAGGTGGTGAAGGCATGGCGCGAGGATTTGAGGTACATCAAGAGCAAGAACAGAGAGTTGTCCAGTAGATGTCTTCGTAGGGTTGCCTTTGATAGCTATACGGAATCAGAGTCTGATCTGAAGCCAAATGATTTATCTACTTACACACCCAATCGCCAATTCTGGCGACTTTCTTGAAGCTCTTCAAATTCTCATCCAAGTTATCTTGCGGGGTGAGCTTCTTGAGCTCCACCATGACCTGCAATCGCTGGGTGTCGCGTTCGATGTCGAGGAACATCAACTTGGAGCCGAGCAGCCGCACTGAGCGCACCCTTCCTGACATTGTCAGAACCAGACTGGTGCTCATGGGTGGTGCACCCTACCAAACACAGACACGACATCCTCCTTCGTCTCCTGGATGCCATCGTACTTGGCGTTGAAGTCGCGTATCGACAAGTTTTGAGCATCCGCAGAGTGAACCAACCTGGGGTGGTAGTCGCCCAACGGCTTTACCTTGCCCAAGTGCTCCAGGCGCTTCTGCTTCTCGACGTCATGCGCGCCGGTGTATGCATCGGCGGCTAGGCTCTGAGTAAAGCGCCGCTGAATAGCGAGGTACGCTCGAGCATGTTCCGGTTTAACGGAGCGACTAGCCTGGTGAAGGTATGGGCGGAGAAAGTTGAGAACTGGGCGGCTCATGGTTCCTTTTTCTTGTTAGCTACAAGTCGCTGACAATGCTTTGTAATAAGTTGCGATAGAGGATGGTTCAGTAAAGGGTATGGTGAAGTCAGCCGCCCGAGGGCGTCATTCGCAACGGTTCTAAGGTTGTTTTGGATCATCATAGGAAAGGGTGTGAATAAATTGAGAGCGCTGAACGTACCTTTCTCTGGAACATGCCTGTCATGGCATGCAATGACAAGCAGTGAAGAAGATCAAGGTGAGAGAACTTCACAGCTCGGACGGCAGCCCACCCAGCGCCCGGAGTCTAGCCGTTAAGCGAGCATATAGCGTCTATAGAGCGTCTGTGCCTGTTCACGTGACTTTTAGTGTGCCAAGTCTCGCTGCCTACTTATTCTGTTGGATTCCCGTCCCCCCTCCTGAAATTTTATACTTACCTTCTTGCGATTACCCAGCTCAAAGATTGGGTTAATCTGAGCGCCTGGTCTGCATTGCACAACGCGGTACTGGGCTCTCACGAGCTTCCTTCGGGAATCTCGGCGGGGCAATTTTTGCTGGTCACACATCTGTGTTGCTTTTTCATTGATGACATTGCTCTATGCAGTGTCTTGAGGAAGAAGATTTCGCACCGCTTTGCTGCATACATGGTATTGTATCGGATCAGGTCAACAGTTCCCAGGACGATGTATCTCTCTACCCTACGTATATGTATCGTTCGGTCACTATCTTGAACCCAGGTAGCTGTCTGGCCAAATATTTGAAATTTCCAGGTAGTGTTTGGCCAACTTTACCCACGCGCTAATAATTCATCAGTTCGCCCGCCAGCCTCCTCTGGTATTTCTCAATCACCTCCTGGCAACGAACCACCACGCCAGCAGCCAACACGCGCACCCTCTCGTCCTCCTCGCTCCCCGCCCCTAGACCCTCGAAGACCATCCTCACCCAGGCCTGCGTCTCCATCAGCTCCTTGCCTTGCTCCGTAGCCACACGCTCCTTGTTCTCGTTCGTCTCCAACAGCATCAGAAAGCCGAACAAAACCGCGTTCAGGATATTCTTATCCTTACTCGCCAGCCCGCGCACCGACAGTAGCAGATCCCAATACTCGCGCGTCATCTGCGGCAACGCGAGCGTGTTCGGGCCGGACGCGTTAAGCAACAACGACAGAGTCTGCAGAAAGGGTGGGAGAAGGTGAGTAGACGCGTATATCGAGTCGTTGTTCGCGCGAATCTGCAGCCACCAACGGCCCGTGAGTGGGAAGAAGAAGTTATCTGCCACAATCTGCGCAAGCGCGTTAGGTATTGGCTTGTGTCGCTTCTTTTCGACTTCCATGCGCGAAGAGAATGTTCGGACTTTGAGTATGTTCGGGCCGCTGAGCTGATCGGCTGCTTGACTAGCCATAGGCGATAGCATCTCACGCACCATGCTGCTTGAGATCTTGGCTACGGTAGGCGCCCTGTTTCCCTCGGCGTACATTTCGTGGAGGTGTGGCGGAAGCTGCTTGCTAGGGAAGTCCGGCTTTGCAGGCACCAAATCGTCGGTCGACGTGTCCTTCATGCCCGCCAACTCACGCGCCCCGAGGCCGAGAGTCGTGAGCATGGCGATGCGTTGCTGTAGACTGTAGTCACCTGAGAAGAAAGATCGAGCGAACCATTGTGCCATTTGCGCTGGTTTCGCTAGGAGCACGGCAATCAAGGCTTGCTGCCGTTGCTGCGCGAAGCCTTCCAGCTCTGAGTTGTCTTGCAATCCGGTAAGCAAAGTCGCTAGCTCTTCGAGATGATCGATGACTTCAGTTCCAAAGTTCGCTTTTCGTCGAATCAATGATGCTGCGGTAGCTAAAGCGAGCTCATGGCGATCGTAGTTCTCTTGATCACGCAGCCCTGCTATCAGGTCTCGGATGTAGACGGGCGCGGTGGGCTTGTTACGATTTATAGCCGTTGCATCGTCTGTATCGTCTTCTGGATCAGAGTCTGGCTTTTCGTACACCATCAGGTCTGCGTCTTCGTCTTCGGAATCAGACAAGACCTCCACGACCCTCGGGCCTTGTATCTCGGTAATTCCGGAAGACTTGGTAACCTTGGGAGGCGGCTTGGGCTTCGACTGAACTCTCTTCGTGCTCGCCACAGTATCCTGTTTAGTCGCAAGATTCGTGACTTCTCCAATCTTATCGTCGACCTCAGTAAGGCGTTGATACCAGCTTGCTTCTTCTGCCTCATCACCCTCCAACTCGAACTTAAGCTGAAGTTCCGGTTTGTCCACCATCTTCGAGATAGCAACACCAACTGCGATACCCAGAAAGCGAGCCCTTGTAGATGCCGCTCCTATGCGATTTGACATGCCATTGACGTGATGTGTAGACTTTGCCATCATGGTGAGGAACATGGGCTGAGAACGCTTTACATAGCCGCTGCATATGGCCAAGGTCTGAGCAAGAGCTGGAGTAAATTAGGGAGGTATAGCGATAGAGTGCAAATACGAAATACCTTCTTGTTGCAGCACAGGTGTGTGCCTGATGTATACTGAATCGCCAAACATCTTTATGAGACCCTCCAGAAGAGTATATAGCTTGTCTAAACGTCGTCAGTCTTGACTATAAATGGGCGTATGATGATCACGGACCCTCGTCTTTGGCCAAAGCAGCTAGAACACTTCGCCTGGCTGATAGGGAGTCATCCAGCGCAGGAACCGTTGACCGCGTAAGTGATGTCACAAGCTGCTCTTTCAGGACGTCATTATCCTTGATGAGCATGGAAAACAGAGCGGCGGCAGATGATATGGTGACAGAGGTTGGAACGGGGGCGTCGTCTTTACTAATAGCTTCCGTAGAGAAATACTTCTTGACCACGAATGCGACTACAGCGTTGAGATACTTCCGTTGCTCGAACGTTTTCATCTGGGACAAGAGATGGGTCAGGCGCTCAATGGCCCCGCTATCAATCAATGTCGGAATAAGGGCGCTCATGATGTGATCTGTATTGTCAGTATGTAGCAACAGACCTTGACGGAGTTTTGACGTACCGGTGTAACCCAATCCAAGCGATTTCGAACATAACTCAACAATGGCGGCAAGATACTCCTCGTTGTTTGAGTTGCGCGCGAGCGAGATGGCGATGTTGCGTCCCAGCCACGCTGCATACTGCTTGCCATCCGCGACCCAATTTGCGTCTTGGGGGGGCTCATCACTCTTCTTGAGCACATCTTCGGCTTCCGCTGCCATTGATAGTAATCGACCGGAAGCAACTTGTGTGATGTACTCTCTCCATATGAGTTTTCTCTGTGTTGGGTTCTTCCCAAACGCTAGAACGTCTTGCAACACGAGATGGGATGTTTCATCGCGGCTTAACATCAGATTTAAGACTTGAAGTGCATCCGCAATGTGCTCAGCTGTGTTTCTCGCTTCACCGGGTGCCCTCTTTTGGTGACTGTCTGCAATAAGCGAACGAAGCCTTGTGTTAAGATGTCCAAGACATGTTGGGTTTCGGAGTATGTTCTCGAGCATTGAAACTTCGTCGGCGTTCTTGATCGTTCTCCAGTAGTTCGGAATGGTGTCGTTGATGAGTTGATGCGCGATGCTTGCGTTGAGTGGTTCTGGTAGTATGAGGCTGAACCCTTCAGTGGTAAGATAGCTCAAAACGGCATTTACGGTGTTGCGGCTCGGTTGGTTCTTGAGTGCCTCAAGTGCTGATTCTGTGGAGTTGATGGAATCTACGTCTTCTTGTATGCTCAAGCTCTTGACTTCCTGAATGAGAGGTTCTTCCTTTTTGACTTTCCTGGTGGATACCGCCGTGAGAAAGTCGGCCATGGCGTTTAGAAAAGGTACCTAGATATTCAGGCGTGTATACCCACACCAAGACAACAGAAACGCGGGTCGTTGTTTCTGCTCTATCCGTGATCAATGCGAAAGGCAGACGCTCAGTGGACCTTACCCAATCGGTGTTTCCTTCCCCATGCGAGGGCCCACAGACTAGCGCCTTGGCAGACCGTCTACGCTCTGATGCCTACAACCACCGTTTGCTGCCCTTGACTCTGCCAACAATCATTCTCCACACATTTCTACAGGATGGCTGTCAGTATCGACAACATGAGTGCGGCATCGACAAGCAGCCCGCGAGCGAGATGGTAAGCTGGATAATGAGAAAGGTCAGAGCTCTTGACTGATAGCATGCAATAGGAAGTACCTGGACAACTTCCTTACTCGCAAGGGCCCATTCACAGATGATGAAGCTTTCATGGCCGGCGAACAAGTTATCGAGTATCTGAGTAATCTTAAAGTTCTGTAGGAACACCACGTTTCCGAAACGCAAGAAATCATAGCTAACCATATGCAGTGTTATGTACGTTGTAACAGCACTCGATGATAATGCACGACCGTCCCTCATGTCGCATCCTTACTAACTATTATTTAGCGGAGCTGGTGGTCTAGGATGCGAAATCCTCAAGAATCTTGCCCTATCAGGTTTCAAAGACATTCACGTTATCGATATGGATACCATTGACGTCAGCAACCTGAACCGACAATTCCTATTCCGCGCCTCGGATGTGGGAAAATACAAGGCCGAAACAGCTGCTGCTTTTGTCGAGAAGCGTGTTAAGGGCGTCAAGATCACTCCCTACTGTGGCAAAATCCAGGACAAGGACGAAAGCTACTACATGCAATTCGGTCTCATCGTATGCGGTCTGGATTCCATAGAAGCGAGACGATGGATCAACGCAACTTTGGTGGGGATGGTGGATGAGAACGACCCGGATTCGATGAAGCCGTTAATCGACGGAGGAACGGAGGGTTTCAAGGGCCAAGCACGTGTCATCTTCCCAACCATGACCTCATGCATCGAGTGCCAACTGGATATGCACGCTCCTCGCGCGGCAGTCCCTCTTTGCACACTTGCTACTATTCCACGTCAACCGCAACATTGTATCGAATGGGCGCATATCATCGCCTGGGACGAGGAGCGCAAAGATATAACTCTCGACACCGACGACCCGGAGCACATCACCTGGCTGTTCAACAAGGCTTCCGCTCGTGCCAAGGAGTTCAACATCGAAGGTGTTACCTACAGCATGACGCAAGGTGTCGTTAAGAACATTATTCCGGCCATCGCGAGTACGAACGCCATTGTAGCAGCCAGTTGCTGCAACGAAGCGTTTAAGGTGGCGACAAACACCGCTCCATTCATGGGTTTCCCCGGTACAGACAACTACATGATGTATACTGGCGATGACTCCGTCTACACATATACATTTGAGCACCAGAAGAAAGATGACTGCCCCGTCTGTGGCGCTGGCAATATTGCTCGTCCTCTCCAAGTTCTTCCCGGTATCACGCTGCAGGAGTTCATTGAGGGACTGGCAGAGCGACCAGAAGCGTATGTACCCCAGTCCTGACCTCATATCCCCAACTCTGTCTACAGTTTACTGACCTCCCCAGTCAACTCAAGAAGCCCTCCATTCGTACAGGCGAGAAGTCACTCTACATGCAGCTCGCAGGTCTCGAAGAACAGACGCGACCCAATCTAGAGAAGAAGATGGTCGACCTGGTCGAAGAGGGAGAGGAGTTGCTCATCACGGATAGGAGCTTTCCCACCCAGTTCAAGTACAAGGTCGTATGGGCATCCAAGTAGGTATCGGGACCCAGTCGCATTGAGCTACCTGATAGGGGGAGGCCAGCGGAATGATCCTGCGGGACACATCGCGCCCGTCAGAGCAACGTAAATATGCTGCACAACATGTAAATCGATGCCATGCCACCAGAATAACAATCGCACGGTATGCTATCCTGTGTCTTTGATGTCCGTAAATGTACAGCTACAATACAGATGCCCATGGCTCTTTATTGTACAACAGCCTGCTTCTTCTCTGCACCACTGACCTCGACTGGTCCCTCCTCTTCAAGCGTCTCCTGCCCGAATGGCTCCGCATCCCCATCAAGCACCCTGCGAACCTTCAGCGTTGCCTCGGCTCCAAACATGCCCACAACGCCGATCCTCCTCTCCAAAGGCCCCCAAATCTTGACTGGTGGCGCCTCGCCCTTGAACAGCTCCCGTCCAGCGTGTATCAGCTCGTTGGCCGCAAAACTGCCCTTGGCATACTTGGGCTCATAAGTCACACGATCCCACTCCTTCCTTTGCAGGCGCAGGAGCTGCTGCTTCATGCTATCCGAGACAGTATCACCAAGTCTGATGTCCGCGAGCTTAGTGCCCATCCTTTCGTCGCCGCCAGCTTTCCTCTCGCGCTTCTTAGGGCCTCCTCCGGCGCCCTTGTTACCTGCCGCACCAGCGCGGCCTTTTCCACCTGGCCCTGGTCTACCGCCTTCTCGGCCGCGTAGATTGGGCCCACGGAGGTTGGGTCCTCGTGGACCACCAGGCCCGCGAGCAGGGCCATCGACCTTTTCGCGGGTTATACGCAGGGTGGAGGGGGCGCGGACCATTTGGCCCTGGGGAGGGGTGGAGCCGCGGGTCGTCGTTGGGCGCGCTGTGTTGCGGGCGAAGCGGGGGTTGGCGTCTGGCTGCGCATCGGCGGGGGCATTGAATTCGGGGATGAAGCCGTCCTTGTTGGCTTGAGGAGAAGGCGAGCCCGGACTTCGTCGTGCCGTTTGGCCGCTGGGGAAAGAGCCTCGTGCGAGTGCGCCAGGCTGGATGCGGCGATTTTGGAGCGACGTGATTTGCTTGAGAGCCGTCGCTTGCCGGGCTTTGCGGGTATTTGGCGCTGAAAATGTATCAGCATTGACTTGACAGGGCCATTGAGCGTCTTCAAGGCGTACGGTGGGCTGGAGATGCTGCGTCGCTGGGTTGCTCTTCCAGTCTCTTCGCGGTGCTGTGGAGTGCCCTCGCTGAGCACTTGGGCAGTGTTGATACATCCGCTACTAATGAGCGCCTCAAGGCGCCCATTGAAGGGCACATGTGTCGCTGGGCCATGCTGTGTGGATGGCTGCATTCGGCACCGTCACTCCAAACTCCAAAAGTTCAAGATCGCGATGTCTTGGCAGACAGGGATCTTGCCCGCTGGGCCTCCGCACCACGTGCTCCGCTCTCACTCCGCCGACAAGGGCGCAGTGACAGTTCCGCGACACATTCATTGTACTCCAGTCATCTCGTCTTAAAAGAGCTAAGCTTTGTTTTGAAAACACGTTCTTCGTGTCGCGTGCGCGTGACTGTAACTCCAATTCAACGACAACCACGACCCTTTCATCGCAACTCATCTACACCACCTGCAACCCGACTCTTCGGTCGCCACTCTTTTGGGCTCTTATACACAAACTGTAGTCATTCTTTAAACATACTGTTCCAAGGCTGCATCCCACCTCAACTACAGTCTGCCTCAACGGCGCATCACTTAAAACCGGGATAACATCAACAACAAACACACATCATCAGTTCCGTCAGCCTCTCCTTGAGACACAGCCTTCTATACAGACCTGTTCCGTGCTACTTCAAGCGTATCCGCATATCTTACCACGTTCTCATCCCACGACCCAACATCATCGCTATGCTCCGACGCACACCCACCACCATCACCCTCACCCAGGCGGACATTGAGCAGTGGGAAGCTAGCCGCCAACGCAAACTCCACGAGGCTCAGCAGAAGCTCGAAGCTGAGATCGCTGCGAATGAATCCAATGCCGTATACAAACCCAAGGAGTCCAAGCAGAAGTCTACAAAGGACCGTATCATGGGTGGGACTGCAAAGGGCTACTGAAGAACCCTGCCCGCTCCATCTAACGACCATCGACGCCCCGAACTGTTTGCGAGTAACGACTCTTCTGGCTTCATCTTGTATCACCACACTTTTGGAATTTCTCCGTGGCGCGTTTTGGCAGACATCTACGACTTGCTTTACGACCATCGATTGGTATGCCGGAATCTCCTGGAAGCGAGTGTAACGTATGCCTATTCACACACGGCAGACTGCCCAAGCATGTCCGAGTCATTGTGTTAAAAATCTGGGGAACTGGAGAAATGTTAGGCTATGTATGAGTCAGAGAACTGTTCTCTTTGTATCTATGTATGTACCTGATAAACGAGGTGTTGGGTTTCGCACTATAGTCGATGTAAAGAAGACCAAAAAGCTATAAAGTGTCGTTTGCCTTCTGGCAGTTTGTAGGGGTCAGAGGGAGCTGAATGTACACAAAATTTCCTACTTTCCGTATCTGTTGATACATGTAGACGTAACATCTCTTGTGCAATCTTGCCATGTTTGCCGGTGCAGAGTGACAGTGACAGTAACCATGTGGTTGGCATTACTAAAGGTCGTTGTACTCGATGAATGACGGACAATCATACGCCAGCCACATCACAGTACCAAATTGCTTTTCTTCTGAGAAAACCTCCGAATGAACCAATGACATACTCCAGCGTCAACGTTACCAATAGCATCAACGAGGCGTGCCGTCCCGGGACGTCGAGACCCTTCCGGTGGGCCACGACTTGCTTTTTCGGCAACACGGGCGGTCACTTTTGCACACCGATCTTTCCTCACACTATTACGTGTCAACGGATCGACTTGCAATCCCGGTGAACGTCCCGTGTGTGCGCTCACCCAAGCCCTCGGTAGTGTGAATAGAACGAAGGATCTAACGCCAGCATTACGTTACGTACCTAGGTACGCTATCTACGAGTAAACCTCTACTTCTCGCCACTGTTGGACCCATTCCGAGTGCTGATAGCTAAATGTCAAATGATTGCCTTCCCAAAGCCATCATTTAGTTGTCAAGCAATAGTATATCTTCATTATAACCACATCGCAAGCATAAGCGAAGGCAATGCGGCTCGTGGCTCGAAGTCCCAACATCCCCGTCCGGACATCGATCCCAAAACGACAGCCACGCCCGTTGATAAACGCCATACCCGCCACCACACCAAGGGTTGCATTGGAAGACGGCTTCTTGGGGTCCAAGTTCGAGGCCCTTGGAAAGGGTCGTAATGTGGAGGGAGAAGCGGGATGACCTACATGTCACTCATAGATATAGCTAGTATGTCGATGGATTGCTGTCTACCTAGGTATAAAAGATCGCATATGGCGATAAGGCTTGACGGGTTCATCGACGCGAGCTTATAGGGCTGGAGGCAATGCATAGTGAACATGGGTTCGTGCGTCGCTTGGAGGTATGGCGTACTTATGGCGAGCTGATCGTATTATCGAGATGAGATATCGACGGCTCAACGCCGTCTTGTTCCTGGTTCATAGTAGTCGCCTGTTGATATGCCTTTTCCGGAACACCTCATACAAGAGAAAAGCTGAACACCCTGGAGCCTACATCAAGATGAAAATATGCAAAGTAGGTGGGCCTACGTCAATGTAGGCTCTAGGGTGTTCAGTTTTTCCCTTGCATGAGGTAGGTAGGAAGGCTATCACAATTGTGTGCGGACATCGATAACGCCCAACGGATGCCAATCATATTTTATCCTTTGCATGCTGGCATCGAGTGCTTGGAAACACGGCTGGTAAGGCTGCCGCTCTCAGGGTACGTTCCTTGGTTCATGCGGAGAACGACTACTCCGCCTGCCGAGTGATTCTGAGACATCAGCCGCAGGCCTGGCAGGCCGTGATACGAGTATCAGAGTACGCAGTTCAAGGGCGTCTTGTTATGTAACCTACCGAAGTGTAGACGTGTAGTCACAATATGTCCAGGGCCGAGACACATGTACTGATCTGACTACGGGCCGACTACTCTCAGAAGCTTCGAAGGATTGTGACGTTCTAGTTCGGACCAGCTCCCCAATCGCGATGGTTTACCGCCTCTACGCATACTGACCCACAAACGAGGCGTTCTTCGGGTTCTATTTGGGTCGCAAGTACTTGCTCGTGCAGGCTGCGGATGGTGTGAAGTGATTGTAGCGTCTCTTAGCGTTCTGCAGAACCATGGGATGAGTAGCTCGTGGTAGATCAGACGTGGCAAGCCAGGTCCTTGGGTTATACGAGACAGAGTAGTCTGAACCAGGCAGTTGGTGACTTCGGACGACGACGGTCTCCTTGCAGGGCAGAAGGCTAATGATTAGTATGTTGGGATAGATACTTCTACGCGGGTTTCGTGAGCCTAGGCACATATAGAGTGGCGGAACCAAGACGACCGAACCGTTTGAACTTGCTCCAGCTCCTCACTTCCCCACGAATCCAACGGCACGAACGACGACAGCGGCTCGGGTTCATCTTGCCTTTCAAGCGGTGGTTCGTGATCACGGGCCAACATGTACCAAGAACAAGTCTGCTGAAATGTCCGCCAATCAGAGTTTTGTGCGTCTCCAGTCCGAACGATGCCTAAGAAGGCGAAGGGGCTTCTGCAGGCACAGTGCAGGGCTAATGCGCGTTCTCCGTCTCGCTACCTCAGACGGACCACACTGTTTCTGAGGCATAGCGCCCTTCCCACAAGCCAGTTGAAAAAGCCAGAAATCATCGCGCGATGAGGGTGCATCAAGAGCAGGTCACTGCGAGAGAACGCTATACTTGAGACATCCATAGATGGTTTGGGAACGAGTTGGGATGGTCGGTTCGTGCGTCATACCTAGACAGGGTCAGGACACGTGCCGACCTGCCACCCGTGGACAGACCTCATCCAACGTTCGGACAACACAAACTCGTGTCCACAAGCAAGTCAGCGGCGCAGCATCACAATGACGAAGCCTGT